CTTGTTAGTCTAGCTCGGGTTAATGTCCTTGACTTGGATTTAGCCTCATTGCCTTTTGTTGCTCGGTTCTTTTCTGTCGGATGGCCGATCTGTGGACCGAACTTGACTTACTGGATGCAGGCTATCTTTTTTTCTCCTTTGTGGGCCCGCTTCTCAATTCAGGGGTCAACACAACTTTAATTATTTTATTTTGAATATCATCTTAATATAAACTCAGAATCGCTCTAACACTAACCATGTCATTTTCTTTTTTCAAAATTAACCAAACAAAACAAAGAAATCCAAACAAAATCAATTTATTTTTTTTTTTTTTATATCCAAGCATCCCCTTAGTGTCCTATTCCATCTTTTTGTGAGTTATATGGCTAGTAAGCCTCCGATTCATGCATTTTTGAGCTATAAAATCTATCGAATGGAAAAAAAATAATAAAAATAAAAATAAAAAAGCCACAGTGTCGAGCTGCTTATCCAAAATCAATGGACATATCAATTTAATACTACCTCCTATTTTTAATATATGTCGTTTTGAGAAGTTGCACACTAATTAAGAATATTTTTTTTGTCAATAATAATCTTATTTAATGAAGATAGAGATGAATGTTTTGAGAAAAAGTGAAGAATGGATATGAAAAGACGTAATGTATTTATTAGCTAAATGAGGGTAATAATAGAAAAATATATACAAAAGATCCAAAACGACATTTATTTAGCAAATAGTTGATAAAGCTAGAATGACATTTAAAAAAAATAGGAGAGAGTATTTGTTATCTTGATGACTCACCAAGAAACAGATGATTCCCTCCAACAAACAATTGGCAGGTCATACGTAGTAATCAGGCTTTACCTAAGAGGTGGTTTAGTATTTAATATTTGTTCATGGACACCTACATTTTGGTACGCAAAGAGCTACTACTAACTAGTCGGCTACAAAGGTAGAGAGTAAAGACTCATTAATAATCACCAATTCTGTTTACATGGCAGAAAGGAGTTCAACCGTACCGCAGTTGACAGCTTATAACTAGAAAACTTAATTCAGCGGCAAACAATAGATATCGTAGTTATTGAGGATTAATTTATATGAATGTTATACTTAAAAAAACTCTGTATTTATGTATGACCAATTTTACGTCGTTGTTTCACGAGTTTCAAAAGGAAAAAGATTGAAAATATTAATTTGTAATGATAAAAACAGCTCAAAACTTTCGTTGTTTCACGAGTTTCAAAAGGAAAAGGATTGAGAATATTAATTTGTAATGATAAAAACAGCTCAAAACTTTACGTCGTTGTTTCACGAGTTACGAATGTAAAAATTATTGAAAATATTAATTTGTGGTGATAAAAACAGTTCAAAGACGAAAAACGTAGTATATAAAGTAGTGTTCAATAATATTTAATTTGTATTTTTACAAAGGCTCCTTTAATGAATTTTTTTTTTTTTTTTTTTT